CTACTTGTAATTTGAGTTTGTAAAGTTTTGATCTTTTATAAGGATGAGATATTTTAATAAAAATACTATCTCTTCTATATATTGATTATCTAAATTTATTTACTTATTAATGTATATCTAAATTAAATATTTATTCTAATGTACATATGAAGTAATTATTATAATATTAAATTAATATTCTAATTTCACAAAAAAATAATCATAAACTAAAAAATATTATTACATTATAATATGAATGATTATTCTAATATATAAATTAACTATTTTTATTTTATTAAAAAATAATCATTAAATAAAAAATATTGATTATATTATAATATGAATTATCATTACAATTTTCAAACGTTATTATAAAGTCAAATCAAATTATTGATTTGAAATTTTAAATTAAATCATAATTAATCAAATAATTCAATAATTTGACTTATCTAAGTAAAAATTCAACATATTAATGTATTTATTTTGGAATTTGTATTTTTTAAATTTATTTTTGTATTTAAGTGGTACCATTAACTTACCCTATGGTATTTATTTTCTATTTTATTTTCAATCACTTACCATTTTTACACGTATCCATGCTTGTAAATTATAGTATTAATAATATTTATTTTAGAATACTTATACCATTGTTACATGTTTCCATGCTTATAGTATTAATAGTATTAATTTATAATTTTTTAATTTTTTCATTTAAATGGTAACATTTGCTTAATGTACCATATTTATTTTTTAATTTATTTTATAAAAATTACCATTTTTACACGTTACCATGCTTGTAAATTGTAGTATTAATTGATAGTATTATTTTGCAGTTTTCTATTTTATTTTTTTTATTTAAATGGTACTATCATTTACTTACCGTACCGTATTTATTTTCTAATATATTTTAGAATACTTATCGTTTTAATAATTATTTTATTTTCTAATTTATTTAGAACACTTACCTAATTTATTTTAGAACACTTACCATTTATTTTATTTTGTGTTTAAATGGTACCATTTGCTTATCGTGGTGACATACCATTCCGTATTTATTTTCTAATTCTCTAATTTGAATACTTACCTTTTTTAAAAAAATCATGTTTTTAAAGTATATCATTAATATTAATTTTTCAGTTTTTTTATTTTATTTTCGTATTTAAATTGTACTAATTACTTACCAAACTACATTATTTTCTAATTTATTTTTGAACACTTATCATTTTTAGATGTACTTTCTCTATCCCTACATAGATTACAATTTTTTTCTCTCCTCTCGATAATTTTTGTTTGTTTACGCGATTTCATTAAGTATTTGATAAAATAAAATATTCTTATCATTTCTTGTTTTGTAGAACTTTTGATGTAGTTGTTTAATATGTAATTTTTATATCTTATTGATATATAAATTTGTAAATAAAATGATTTCAAAAAGTAAAAAATTTACTCCGTAACCCGCAATTTGTAATCAAATTAGGGACGGAGGGAGTATTTTATTTTCTCTTTTATTTTAGAACACTGACCTAAATTATTTTAGAAAACTTACCATTTCTTTTATTTTCGTTTTTAAATGGTGCTAATTGCTTACCATACCATATGTATTTATTTTCTAATTAGAACATTTGTCATTTTTAAAACGTTTCCATTCTTTTAAATTATAGTATTAATATTAATTTTTAGTTTTTTATTTTATTCTTTTATTTAAATGTTATCATCTACTTACCGTACCATATTTATTTTCTAATCTATTTTATAAAACTTACCATTTTTACGCGTTTGTGCTTGTAAATTATAATATTTTTTAATGATAAATAATTAATTTGTAGTTTGTGTGAAATAAATCATTTTAATCTTGCCCATATGTTATTTCTATACTTCAATTCCCCAATGGTTCACTACTATTTAATTTAATTTAATTTAAATGCTTAAATGGTGTAACATTTAAATAAAAATAAAAATTAAAACATACTTAATGTAACGCCCTGAAAACCGACTCAGTAGTTAGCCGTTATTTTAATAAAAAAAATAAATAGATTATCTACTTTCTTTAAAATATGAAATATTTGTAAAGTTGACCATTTTAATTAAAAATTAGGTTTCCGGGTAGATCTCGTAAAATGGTGACCAACGGTATATAATTTGTTAAATTTGGCCTTTCGTATACACCGCGATAAACAAAATAGACATTACAGTTTGATAAATAAATATAAAGATTTTATAATATTAAATATTAATAATAATTAAGTTAACCTACTCCTACCCGTAAGCGGAAACCCCTCCCCCTTCCCCCTTAATATATACAGACGCACACGAGGGGAAAAGAAAAAGAAACGGAAAGAAGAAAAAAAACGAGGACAACGGATAGCCGCCGCCTGCTCACCAGAGATTTTCGCCAAATTGTTTAATTTTAATACGTCAAACTATTGAGGTGAGTGATTTATCTCTCGTTAAAATTGATTCGTAGGTTAGGGTTCATTGATATATTTTCGTGCAATTGATGTTTAATTGGTGGATTGAATTGTTGAATCTGTTGATTGAATTGGATTGAGAATTTGGATGGTTGCTCTGAACACAGTAATTTGTTCTATCCGTCTCTGTTGTTCTTTTCTTCTGTTCATTGTCTTCCTGCTTCGTTTATTTCTCGCTGCTTTTCTGTTCTCTTGGGTTGCCGCTATGTACGTTGTTCGCTGCCCTAGGGTGATGTTGGCTCTGGGGTTGCCGAATGCGCCGTTGCGCTACCCGTGATGCTGCCGGAAATCTTGCCGCCATAGCTACTGATGTTGAGGATGTCGCCGCTGCTGTTAATGAGTCTCCTCCATGGTTGCAACGACCTGGGGGATTACTCTCTTAAAATTGTATGCTTAATTGACTATTAAATTGACACTTTATTGGGGGCAGTGCTTCAGGAGTTTGGGCGCGGGGGTGGGATGACATTATATTATAATTCCATTATAATTCTTTTGGGTTATGGTGTTGAATTTCATGACCACAATCGTGGAATAGACCACCTGGTATATCTGGGAGGTTGAGAATTGAATTATACGGATAAGATTTAGGATTTAGGCCTGGTGGGGCGAGCTTCGCATAACTCACGGGTCTTGGGTTAAAAACGTACGTACGGGAGTCATTAGCCTACCTAGGGATTCCTTTGTAGGGGCTCCAACCCGCCCATTGAGGATTCTCTTTGGGTTTCATCAAGCGTGGCCTCGGGGGATCCGTCCGAGTGTCCATGGCTTAGTTAGTCAAAAGGAACCTTAGCCTATAGGGTTAAGTGTAGATAAACAACGGGAACTGAATATAAATAAATAGTT